AGGAAGTACCTCTGAAGGAAGGCAGACGCATGCTGCTGAAGAGAACTTGTCATTCTAAAGAATGAAGCTGTCTCTGTGTTCTGTGTTCTGACGTGGAGGGATTTCAGTGATGCAGTATGAGAAGATGAACAAAATCAAATCAGAGAACACTATGTATGGCCTGTCTCCTTTAGATGAAACTGAAGCAGCCAGGTTAAAGTATGGGTGCATGTGTTGTGTGCAAATGCTCACGAAGGGTCTGGAAAGATGTGCACGCAACTTAACCGTGAGTTTCTCTAGGGATGGGTGGATTTGAGCAGATTCTTAAACATTTTATTCTCTCTTGTAGTTGTTAGAATTATTATGAGCATGCTTATTATGAAAATAATGATGAAGTAAGAATAATATTTAAGCAACGAAAGGGCTAGGTTGGGAAAGAGGAGAAGGGAGGGGCTCTGACAGTGACACCGGGCTGTTTCCAAAATGTTTCTCAGAATCGGAGAAGATTCAAACCAGAGCGCTCGGCCCTTGGTTCAGGGGGTACAAAAGTTCGTTGCACATCAGAATCACTTGGAAAGCTTAAAAACAGAACAAATTCCTGGCCCTGTTGCAGACCCACGTGATCTCAGGTGATGGGACTGAGGCTGTGAATTGTTGCGAAAGCTGCTTCCCAGGCCATTTTGATGCTGCGCTTGAGGCCTGAGGCTGTGGGGAACCTCTGATTTAGTCTCCCCGCTTCTGTAAAGTGAGAGAATGAACTGTCTCGACCAGGTAGAACCCAGCCCTGGATGTTCGCTTTTCAGTGACCATGTCTCCTGACTCCAGTGTTTCCCCCAACAGTAGCTTTTAGGTATCACCTAAACTGTGTTTACGTTTTATAGGGAACATTCTTTAATATTGTTTTTGAACGTGACCCCCTTCGTCCCCACTACCCATTGCTTCACCCTTTGAATTGCCTTTGGGAATGATTTTTACGTTTTTCTAGTTTTCTTAGAAACCAGAGGGTTGCCACCAGGCTAGTGGAAAAAGCTCCAGAAAAGATCACTGGTCTTCAGCTGAGGCCTTAGGAAAAGAACTTTTATCCAATGTCTCCTAAGAGGAAGGGACATTGCCACCTGTTCCTCTCAGCAAGGTTTCAGCCCCGGGAACAACTAGTTCCTCCAGCTTTGTAGCTCAGATGGTTTAACTGTTAACTTTGGGATTGGAGGAGCTCTTAGGGGTCCCTCTAGCGCAGAGGGAGTAAATGAATTCCTTCAAATGAATTCTTACTTGGAAACCCTTAGCAAATTAGTAGATCAGAGCTGCATTGTTTGAGGCAGGGAACTTAGAGTCCTACCTCCTGTCCTTGCCCTGACTCACCCTCCAGGCCCAGGGGCAGCCCTGAAAAATGTGTTCGGTACTGTGCGATCTGGAGTCCAATTTGGAAACCATTGACGTTTTCCTCTTTCTCCTTCCGTAGGTAACTATCCCCCACATTCAGCTGCTCTGACCTCTCATGTCTGTGCCTTCTCCTCCTTCCACCACCTCTTCCTAGTCCACGTCACCCCCCACTTCCCCGTGGCTTTCACCTTCTCAGTGGGTTTTCTCATCTGCTCTCCTCCCACACCACTTTCTCTGTCCTCTGCAGCCAGATAACTTTTTTTTTATTCACAAATGTGATTATATGCCTCTGTCACCAACCTCCAATATAAACAGACAGTGACTTCTCATTGCATTTTGGATTAGAATCAAACTTTGGAGCCTCTCCGAGTTTAACTGTGGCCACTGTGTTGCATCTGGAGGTAGAGCCACACGAGTTTTTTAGTTCCTGAGCTGACCTTCTCTGCTTCAGGCTTATGCTCGGAGACTCCCTCTGCCAAATCCCCCTCCTTTCCCCTGTTCAGACTTAAGTTCTGTTTCCATCCTTCAGAGATACTCCAAAACATTTCTCTGGTATCTCTGAGCTACAAAGTGCCTGTTAAACCCTTCTCACCGGACTCTATTTCTCCTTCTCAGCAGTAATCTCAATCTAATTATGTAATTACTGATGTAATTAGTTGTTTCTGTCTGTCTTCCCTTAGAAGGTAAACACCGTAAAGCCTGGGGTAGAGTTTGAAAGGTTCTTATACACACATAGCAGATCTTCAAGAAACATTTGTCCAATGCTTTCACAGTACCTAGTCTGTGCACAAGGTTCAGGTTTAGTGTTCAGCCCAGGTGAGGCTGCGAGGCCTGTTTTCTGTTCACTGTATTTGTAGGAGCTGGAATTGCCTCTTGTAGCATGGTCCCTTTGTAGAGCCCCATCATCTTAAGTGGGTTACCTAGTAGGGTGCAGTTTAAAGAGTCCAGAGTTTTGTTTAATTAGAAACTTGATCAGTTCTTTTAAATGAACAAAGAACTGGAAAACCTACCTAATGAATGGAGAAGCATGTGGGTGCAGTGAGGTTTGGAGGTGGGTTCTGTATTCTGCTTGAGGGACCTCCAGTAATTCAGTAATCAGGGGACTCATGCAGAACCCAGTAGTGGCATCCCTCACCTTAGACTTAGAAGCATGTTTACATCTTTCCGGCTTCCTGAGCACTGCAGTTCTCTACAGTGGCTTTTGCACTTAGAAACTAGATAGGAAGGAACTTGGAGAAGTACAGAGCAGGGCCTCTTTTGCAACCTCTTGGGTTGGGTCCTTATCGTTGCGGAGCTTGGGACAAGATTTGTCTTCATGTACTTGGCAGATGGCACTTGGGATCCACAAAATAGTAATGAGTTTTCTTTCTCAGTCTGATGCATCTACTATGTTCAGAAGAGGGTGGCTGGGCTGATTTTGCAAAAACAAGGAGGGGAAAAAAAGCCAGAAGTAAAAAGGGATGTTACTACAGAATTTATTATCAAGCAGGTTACTTTTCTCCAGAGACCAAGATGAAGTTAAGTCTCTTACCAAGAAAATCAACTACTATCCTTTTTTTTGGGGGGGGGCTCTCAGATTAAAGAAAAGATGAATATATTCTTTTAAACTGAAAATTTGTTTTCAATATTGTCATTTAACTGGAGGCAGCTCGGGGACAGGGTAAAGGACTTTAAGGTTGATACTTTTGGTTCAAATAGTTAAATTTGAGGTAGAGGAGAATGGACTCTTGGGTTATGTTTCAAGGTTTTAAGGAAACAGGAACTCTGATCACTTTGAAGAAATTCTTGCTTTACTCTCTCAGTTACTGGTACAGAGATAAGTTTAGAAGGAATTTGCCCTGCTGGATAGCTGGTAGTTGAGGTAGCCATTATTTTCTTGACACATAAGCTCACTCCATTTTTTTTTTGAGATTAAATTTCTCTTTGAAAAAATATTTTTATTGATTTCAGAGAGGAAGGGAGAGAGATAGAAACATCAATGATCAGAGAGAATCATTAATCGCTGCCTCCTACATGCCCTCTACTGAGGATCGAGCCCACAACCCTGGCATATGTACTGACCATGACCTCCTGGTTCATAGGCCGACACTCAATCACTGAGCCATGCCGAATGGGCAACCTCTCTCCATTTTGAAGAATTTGTAGAAGACAGTGAAAACTTTCTTGTTGCACCCTCTCAATCTTCATTAATGCAGCAAAGCTCTTTTTAAACATGCATCCTTAAACTTACCCAACCCCCTGCCAAAGGACCTCAGGATTTAGTATCACAAATATACTTTCCTTTCTCCCAAGTTTTCATTCTGGAAGATAGTTTAAAATTCTGTCTAGCTAGGTAAAGTTTCTCTTCTATGAATTAAATTTAAACGTCTATTGATTCCTTGCTGAGGCCAGCTTTGTGCTTGGGTTCTTAGGTGGCTGCAGGTCCATGCCTTATTGGCCATGGGCTTCAGAGGCTGGACAAATAGGGTATGCATCTAAAAGCATCAACTCTGCTGATTAAAGCATATTAAGAATGTCAAGGGCCTAACTCTGTTTTGTAAAACAAACAAAAAACCCAAAACCAGGCAAATGAAACGTACAGCTTTGCATAGATGAAACATTTGAAAACACCTTGCCATGTCTCTAGGTTAACTCTGAGTATCTGGTGCTATGAAAGTAGCAGTTTGGATACATGCCATCCTATTTCTCAATTGTTTTGTCCTGGTGTCAAGATATGGTAACATTGGGTCATGGAAAGGATGATAAACTATTCAGCAAGTTATTTTCTTCTTGCATTAGGATGTTTGCCTGTTTTAAAAATTTTTTTTTAAGAATGTTTGACTTCCATATAGCATTTTTTAAATCCTCACCTGAGGGTATGCTTTTATTGATTTGAGAGAGAGAGAGATCAATGTGAGAAACATTGATCAGTTGCCTTCTGTATGCACCCCAACCAGGGTTTGAACCTTCAGCCTTTCAGTGTACAGGACGATGCTCCAACCAACTGAGCCACACCGCTAGGTATTTATTTATTTACTTATTTTAAATCCTCACCCGAGAATATTTTCCCATTTATATTTAGAGAGAGAGAGAGAGTGGAAGAGAGAGGGAAAGACAGAGAGAAATATCGATGTAAGAGAAACACATCGATTGGTTGCCTCCTGCACATGCCCTGACCAGGGCCTGGGCCAAGGAGAAGCCTGCAACGAGGTACATGCCCTTGACCGGAATCGAACCTGGGACCCTTTGGTTTGCAGGTCAACACTATATCCACTGAGCCAAACCGGCTACTATATGGCATTTTTTATACAAGCTACAGAGTGCTTTCATGTCCATATTCTCAGCTGATTTTTATAATCGAGAGGTATTGTCAGCCTCAGTTTACACATGGAAGAAAAGGAAGCTGAGGCAAAGGTCAGGCAAGGAAACCAAAGCTTCACAGCTAGAAGGTCAGGTGCCAGGGGGTGGGGCTGGGGGCGAATCAGAGTCTGTTTCTCTCTTCCTCTTCTGCAGCAGCCTGCTGTTAGGAGGATACTGTACCCGTCAGATCTTTCCTGGGAATGATAATGGTGGTGGTGGGATTGTTCCATCTTTTATTCTCTGTTCCTTTATAGCACCTTCTTGGTTTTTATTCCTCCCCCTTCCCCTTTTATTTCTTTCAGCTTGGATTCCTTAGCACCACCTCTGCTCAGCCAGAACAGAAGGCCTCAAGTCTCATTGGCAAATATCACCACGTTGACCGTGCCACCGGCCAGGTGCTAACCTGTGACAAGTGTCCGGCAGGAACCTATGTATCTGAGCACTGTACCAACACAAGCCTGCGTGTCTGCAGCAGTTGCCCTGTGGGGACCTTTACCAGGCATGAGAATGGCATAGAGAAATGCCATGACTGTAGTCAGCCATGCCCATGGCCAATGATTGAGAAATTACCTTGTACTGCCTTGACTGACCGAGAATGCACTTGCCCACCTGGCATGTTCCAGTTTAATGCTACCTGCGCTCCCCATACGGTGTGTCCCGTGGGCTGGGGTGTGCGGAAGAAAGGGACGGAGACCGAGGATGTGCGGTGTAAGCAGTGTGCTCGGGGTACCTTCTCTGATGTGCCTTCTAGTGTGATGAAATGCAAAGCATACACAGACTGTCTGGCTCAGAACCTGGTGGTGATCAAGCCAGGCACCAAGGTGGCAGACAACGTCTGTGGCACACCCCCGACCTTCTCCAGTACAACCTCACCTTCCCCTGGCACAGCCATCTTTTCACGCCTTGAGCACATGGAATCTCATGAAGTCCCTTCCTCCACGTATGTTTCCCAAGGTAACTTAACCTCATGAGTTGTTTATTTGAGGAGGGCTTTGAGCCCAGTGAAGGTACTGGCAATGGGCCTGTGCCAAGGATGGTTTTGCATTTTGTATATCCCTTGATGAAGGGGCTTGCATTTTGTGGCTAATTAAATCTAGCTTCTTTGGGACCTTTTAGAAACATTTCAACTCAGAAGGTTGCACTTAGGGGGATCAGATATCTAAAAACTAGGTCACATCAAGCTAGCAAATAAGAACCTAGTAAAACAAGGACAGTGTGTGGCCTTATGTAAGTCACTGAACTTCTTCTGGTTTTGGTTTCAAACTCGTCAAGTAAATGAGTGATTTAGATATTTAAGGTCTCACTCCGATGAAAAGTTTTTCAACTTGGAGTCAATCCTGGGTAGATACAGCCAGAGGTAAGAAGGAGGGAGAAGGGAAGAAAATACTATGAGATGTGGAGGGGAGGGATGAATATTGGATCAAAGGTGGGGAAAATAAGTTAGAAGCTTCAGGAAACAAGCAAATTTGTATCACACTGAAGGTAACTAGCTACCATTCACATCTGGAAAATAATGCATTTTTTTTTCCAAATGATTCTAACTTGAGGTTCTTCACTGGATATCACTGTTTTCCTCAGATTCCTTTAGAATCTCAGGCAGACTATAAAATTTAGTCTTTATTCTCAAATCCTTTTTGATTGAATTTAATTTTCATCGAGATGATAGCCCACTTGAGTTGTGCTTTCTAGCATCCTCTCAGGTGCGATTGTACTTGACCTTGATGATGACCCTGTGAGGAGAGCCTGGCAGCTGCCATTTTGAAAGGAAGAAACGGACTCACATGACCTGACCAGGTTTTCTCAGGGTCCGATACAGGACAGGTCCTATTTCTTGGGACTCAAAATCTCTGGCTCTCACGACTCGTTAATGGAGACAACTTGTGGAAGCTTCTCTGACAGAAGTCCACTAAACTGGCCATGCCCATGGCCAGTGGTTGAGAAATCTAAATCTTTCTTAATCTACTCATAGAAGATACTAAGGAAGTCCTGCCTTATTTTATTCACTGACCTGTCTCACCAAAACTTCCTTTCACTGGTCAAACTTGGTTTTGAGTTTGAGCTCTTTTCTTACCTTAGTCATATCCTCAAATTTACCATTGCATTATGACATAGTCAAAAGTTGGGAGAGGAGGTACAAAGGAATTAAAGGACAAAGGAATTAAATTTGAACTAGTTCTCTGAGTAGTCAGAACAGTTGAGAGTTGACTAAAGCTCTGAATATATATATGTGTCTGCTCAGGGTGTGAAGCACAGGGAGCTGCTGTGAAGGTCAGATGTTGGATCCCTGAGAATGCCCTTGGTTATGGCACGAGAAAGTAAATGAGTTTAGCTGTTACCCTTCGTTTTTATCTTCCACGTAAAGGTGCTTTTAAGATCTTTATGAAAATGTGCAATATAACCTATTTTTAAACTCCAAAGGTCATCTCTTCTTTAATGATCTGCCTGGTGTGGAGATGAGCAGGAAGAGGATGGGATATATAGATCTCCAAATATAGAAAAACTCATCCCCCTCTTTACTCTTTTTTTTTTCTAGGCATGAACTCAACAGAATTCAACTCCTCTGCCTCTGTTAGACCAAAGGAACTGAGTGGCATCCATGAAGAGACAGTCCCCAACAACACAAGGTGGGAGGAAGGTGTGAACAAGACCCTCCCAAACCTCCAGGTCGTGGACCACCAGCAAGGCTCCCACCACAGACACATCCTGAAGCTGCTGCCACCCATGGAGGCCACTGGGGGCGAGAAGTCCAGCACGCCCATCAAAAGCATCAAGAGGGGTCATCCCAGACAGAACCCGCACAAGCATTTTGACATCAATGAGCATCTGCCCTGGATGATTGTGCTTTTCCTGCTGCTGGTGCTTGTGGTGATAGTGGTGTGCAGTATCCGGAAAAGCTCAAGGACTCTAAAAAAGGGGCCCCGGCAGGATCCCAGTGCCATTGTGGAAAAGGCGGGGCTGAAGAAATCCATCGCCCCAACCCAGAACCGGGAGAAGTGGATCTACTACTGCAATGGCCACGGTGAGCTTTCTTTTCTTCTCCTTGCCTCTCTTTCCCTTGTCCCTGTTGTCTGGAGGAGTGGGAAATGCAACATTTCTGGAATGTCTTTTGTACACCTAGTGCTATTTGATCTAGATGTGTTAGGAGAAATGAGGTGGTCAGCATTTGATGCACTGTGTTCAGAGAGAATAACCACTCTGCCCTTTTCTCCCCTGGCGCATTTAAAGGGGCATGTTGCAAAATGAGAGGTGTGAGAGGGACATTTAGGGACTTTGTTCAGCCTTGTCATTGAACATGGGAGGAGATTGAGTTCAGAGAGGTTTGGCTGCATCCTTGACTCAGGCTGGTTGTTTGCTCAGGACAGATGGGACTGACTCTACGTCTCCGGACTAGTGGAACCCTCACTTCTTTTTCACTACTGGGCTGCTAAGAAAAGAAAAAAGAATTTGTCTTAAGTTTGCCTTTTAGAACCTCAACCTTGCTTCTAGGTCCCTATACTTTTTGCCCATGTACTTTTCCCCTCCTTATATTTTTAGGATCCCATTTCTATCAGGGTAGGAAGGGCTTTTAGATGACAGACACTCAAAGCTTAATGTGTTGGTGATCATTTGAGGCTGGGCCTCCCATCTTCTACATAGTAGTAGAAGTATGTGTTGACACAGGCTGGAATATTTGTTTTTCCTTTTTTGAAGGCCAGAAATAGCTTACGGAAGTTGTCCCAGGAGCTGTTTGAGGTGAGATGGGAGTTTTCAGACGGTGGCAGTAATTTCCCTTTCTATAAATCCTAAAATGAGATTTCGGCCTGCAATTTTGACAATTTCAGTCAGGTGCCTTCTTGCCCCTTTAAAGTTAGCCTAATTTTCTAAAAAAGCGGTTGGCCTTTTGTATTGAGTCTTAAAACTCTGCTTATACCTTTTGTTCCAGCAATTCCATTTTTATTCATCTATTTTAACCAGAAATACCCCCCCCCCCAAAAAAAAAAGATTTAAGCAAAAAGATCTTAAACTTTTAACTAAGTTGAAATTGGAAACAAAGGGACAGTTTTAAGGAAATGAATTAAGTAAATGATGGCCTATCTCAGTGGTCGGCAAACTCATTAAGTCAAAAGGGCCAAATATGCCCTGACTGGTTTGGCTCACTGGATAGAGCGTCGGCCTGCGGACTGAGGGGTCCTGAGTTCGATTCCGATCAAGGGCATGTACCTTGGTTGCGGGCACATCCCCAGTGGGAGCTGTGCAGGAGGCAGCTGATCGATGTTTCTCTCTCATCAATGTTTCTAACTCTCTATCCTTCTCCCTTCCTCTCTGTAAAAAAATCAATAAAATATATATTTTTTAAAAAAGCCAAATATCAACAGTACAACGATTGAAATTTCTTTTGAGAGCCAAATTTTTTAAACTTAAACTACATAGGTAGGTACATTGTTATTAACTTAATTAGGGTACTCCTAAGGCTTAGGAAGAGCCACACTCAAGGGGCCAAGAGCCGCATGTGGCTTGCGAGCTGCAGTTTGCCGACCATGGGCCTATCTGTAATATGAAATGTATTGACATTGAAGATTTTATGAATTTTTTGACTGATGACATAGGAAAATGTTTTACACTAGGTTAAAGAAAAGAAAAAACAACCCAGACTACACAATTCATATAATATAATCCCAGTTCCCTTAAAACTATGAAATAGAGACTGAAAGAAAATTGGCCAAAATGACAGTGATGTTCTTTAAGTTTGGTGAGATTAATGTGTGGGTTTTTTTTCTTCTTTGTTAGTTTTCCTTTCCCCAAATTTTCTAAAAGTAGCACATGCTACTTTTATAATCAGAAATTTAGAGAAAGTGAAAAAAACAACAACAGTAACTTATTTTGCTTTCCTTTGCTAATTTGTGTGAATGAGCAAATCAAGTGAAAATCAGACTGAGACGAACCCCCTCCTGGGGACAGAGCCTGCCCTGACTTGAAGGAGACTACCCCTTGCTGGCAACCCAGCTGGGGAAGGAAGGCTTCAATCCTCCCCTCCTTTTTAATAAAAATCTTTTTATTTGGACATCATTTCAAAATTACGGAAAAATTGCAAGAGTCGTACAAAGAATACCTGTATACCCGTGCCCAGGTCAACCTGTTGTTAATATTTTGCTCTTTTGCATTATGTGCCCTCTTTATATTAAAAATAGACTTTATAAGTTATAAAATATGTATAATACAGAATAGTTCATTATATTTATTATATAATGTAACATATACAATATTTTGTGTATATGCACACATGTACATCCAGAAAATAATTTTTCTGGACTATATCCTGGCCCTTTGTGCCTACAAACTTCAGTGTGTATTTCTAAACAATAAGGATATTCTCTTTAAAAAAAAAAAGTACAGTTTTCAACCTCAAATAAATTTAACATGAATATAATATTGTAACTTACCATCCATATTCCAGTATTCTCAGTCAGTCCATTAAGGGCCTTCATAGATAGCATGCATTTTTTTTTTTATCTGGTATAGAATCTGGTCCAGGATCAAGTATTTCATTAAATTGCTCTTTAAGTGATCAGTCAGACACTTGTTCTGATATGTCTAATTAGTAGAGAATGTCCTGTTGGATTATGTAAGTATTTGAAACTCTCCTCTCCTTATTTACTTCTTTAAAGGAACAACTCCATTTCTTTGGTAGTTGAATTTATGGATTAGGGTTTGGTGCTATCTGTAGTTTAAGGATCCACTGAGGGTCTTGGGAATGTATCCTCCGTGGAGAAGGGGGGATTACTGTGGCCTCATTCAAGTGTAACTATCTTTTCCAAGAGTTTAACTCTCTCCCCCTCCCCCATCCGGTTTTTCCATTGGGATGTTCATATTTAGGATGTTTTTCTAAACGAGGTCTATTTTTTCCAAATTTCTGTTCTGAAAGGTTCAACTAAGTAAAATCCCATTACAAAGAGAGGTTCTGTTTAATAAAAACCATTCCAGGTGCTCAGAGAGGCCTCTAGAAACACTATCTTGTTGTTCTGATTGCAGTGAGTTCTGGGCAGCAGATAATCCTGTATAAGATCTTTTTCTGGTCCTTGTCCATTTACACTGAATTGTTCGTGAGGATGAGAGTAGGGGTCAAATTGCCTAGCCCAGGGTGCTCTCCATAAGAGGTCACTTACGCCTGTAAGACCTCACTTACGCCTGCCCACCTTAAGCAGGCCATGCTACGCTCCTGAGTGCCATATAGACAGACCCTCAGCACTCTGAAGCTAAGCCATTGGTTCCTGTCTTTCTCTACAAGAACCTAGCCAGTTTGGCTCAGTGCATTGGCCTGTAGACTGAAGGGTTCCGGCTTCGATTCTGGTCAAGGGCATGTACCTCGGTTGCAGGCTCAATCCCAGCCCTGGCCAGGGCGCATGCAGGAGGCAACCAATCAATGTGTCTCTTTCACATCGATGTTTTTCTCTCTCTGTCTCTCCCCTTCCTTTCCACTCTTTCTAAAAATCAATGGAAAAATATGCTCAGATGAGGATTAAAAAAAGAAAAAAAAAAGAACCTCTTTTTTTGGCTCTACTCACCCCTCTCTGCCTACCAAGGATTTATAGTTTTTAAAGTTGAACTCCACAAAACTGCAATCCTACTTTCATGGAATCCTGGTATTGGAGACACCTTATGTGGCTAGGAGGATGGAAGACTGAGGGTGCTGTGGTATTTTGTGTGCTTCTTTCCTTCATGAAGTCAGAGCAATTTAATGTTTAGTAAATTGGGATTGGACTCTGGTTTCTTGTAATGTGTCTGTTTCCGCAACAGGCATCAGAAGTCCTTTCAGAATTTTTTTTTTCAATTTATTAAAACTGGAGACAGTGAAACAAGGCAGGGCCTAGGATAGAAGAAGCAACAGGAGAGAGCCTAGGCTGGGCTGCTTTGGCTCTCTACAGATGTTATAGGAAAGTCAGAGAAAAGAGGCCTTCGAGGTAGGTTTGGGGGTTAGCCCGGGATGAGCTGCCGCTGCCCATTGCTCCCCAGGTTGCAGGTCTCATTGGGCCCCTTAGAGTTTAGAAGACGCATGCCTGAGAGGGAAGAAGCACATGGGTGTGATCCCAGGAGAGAGCGCCCAGAATTCTTATACACAAATCTTTTATTTATGAGTTTATTACTAGATTCAGGTGTCATTAGGATGTAAATCTATGCTAATGCTCAATTTGTTATGCTTTTGTTGTTTAAGTAATACTTCTATTTCCTTTTGTAGTATAATCCCAACATTATGGGGTAAGTGGGATCCAACATGTTCAATTTTATTTAAAATTAAGATTAATGCGGGTTCACATTAATTGGGAGGTTACATGGAAAACAGTATATTTTGTCTGATCTGTTTCTCACATAAAGCACAAAAGTAAAGATAGTGAAACTTAGTCCACACACAGCTGGCTGTACATTGCACTGAGAAAGTCTCAGATGGTCTCAAAACAGTTACTTCCTTATAATTATGCCAGACACAGAGCTGTGGTCCAGCCCCAGCTGGGGAACGGGGATGGCCGAGAACAGAACCAACTGCTGTTCTCTTACTGCTGTTTCTAATACGGGTTCTTCCTAGTGACCTTCCCCTCCTTTCTTCCTCTTCTCCTCTCTCCCTTCCCCACTTCTTCCCCCTCTCCCCCTCCTTTGTTCACCCTTATGACTGACTATTTGGAAAAACTGTGACCTTGGGTCCCAAGCAATCTGTTGCCCTAGGGAGTCTGAGGAGAAGTTTAAAAAGCAGATGAGGAATGGAAATTGCCCTGAAATTACTTGTGGAGGAAGTTCTGCAAGGTGATAAAAGGAGCGAAAAATGGACAGTATCTCTGCTCGATAGTATTTCCTTTTTCTTTCAGACTTCAGGTTATGAAGAAAAATGGGGTGAGACAAAGGAATTGGATTTATTTAGTTTTAACTGTCTTAGTTCCTAATTAGCACATTCTCAGTCCTGAACCTTAGGGAGACAGTCAGCATTTGACTGGGACAGTAATCCCTCCCGGTGTAGTTACTCCAAGTACACGAGATAGAAAGATAGCATCT